AAGAAACGATAATCATAGAGAGGAAAAACACACTAAACCGTCATGGTGCAGTATAAATTTATTCGTTGAACTGTAGTAAATTATTATGCAAATTGTTGGTCAGGAATTCGTTGGTTTTGGTGCGCGCACTTTAACTTTATGATTATTACTCTGGTGGTTGCATATCAAAGTGTCGAATCTCGAAGTGATTCATTTACAATTGTTCGTGAGTGCGGAATCGGATTTGGAGCAAACGAATAAATTTCAAGACCCACTTCAGGTAGCAAGCACACTGCTCCCAGTTGAAACCACACTCGACAAGGATTTTAATTTTCTCATTTGCAAACACTAACTGTGAAAATGGGAATGTTTATTCATAATTGGTTTTTTGTTTGAAATACAACAAAGCGCTTCACATTAGAGAAGCAGAAAAAAGAGATGATTTTTACTCCAACTAAACACTTATCTCAATGAATTACCAAAGCAAATAACGTGGGTAAATGACGATGAACACTTTTGCCCTGAATGAGTTTTTATGAAACATAAAAGTAAATGCAACAGCAAAGGCAAATGTGTGCGCGGGTTTGTTTTAAGCGATTCCATTCTAAATGGAAAATTAAATAGTATTTTAATTTTTTTTTCGAGATTATTAATGAATATGAACTGATATCGTCCATTCGATTGAACGATTAGGAAGTAACTTAGCACATAGAATATTTTCGAAAAAATGAATGGGCTTAAAATGAAGCAAAATATTTTGAATATTTTGCTTGAAATTCTCCCCCAATGAATTTTGAGAAAAGTTGTTTCTTTTCGAAAAAAAAAATGGTCGAGCGCAATAATTTTCTAGCGTTTAAAAATAGATTGAGAAATTTTTAAGGCAAAGCCCATTTTTCATGAAATAAAAAATTATGAAAAAGCTAATAAATTTAATTTTTCATTCCATCATTTTTCGAATGCAGTACCAATTTATCAAACTGGTTCACTGCAGATGTCGGCCTATTCCACTATTGCACAATTGATGCTCCAGTTTTAATTTCATCCATTCCACCGCTTTTTCTAAAATGCTCATCATTATTTTTTTTTTAATCGGATTGAAATGCCGGCCAGTTTTGTACAAAATATAAAGACAAACAATTTATACGAATGACAAAACGTATTTAGTATTTTCCTTCCGACTTTTATTCATTCGGGCCGGTATTGTTATTGTTCTTGAGTGCATAATTCATTTTTATGACGACGCACACACACACACGAACACGAACACAAAGTGCGACAAGCTACGGCGGACCCCCATAAAAAAAAACCTTAGTCACACAGAATATAATATCCTTTATTATTGTTCTGGTGGATTAAATACGGAATTAAAAAGGGATGATTTATGCTGTCAAAAAGAAGAAGAGACTGCATTTTGTCGTTGTACCATTGTGAATGGCGTGAATAAAATGTAACCAATTTTTTGTTGTTGCCCAATTTGAAAAGGTCTCAAAGTGACGATCCAAAATGATTTGATTAAATAAAATTATTTCATAAGGGTACGTTTTTGATGGTTGAATGTGTCAATGCGCTCATGCTGAATGTATCAAATGCAGCGGCATATTCTTCCGAACATTCCCTGTGTTTCAATGGAATGGTTGAATTGGATTAGGAAAATTTCACACGAACCGAAATGGTTGACACGAATTTGTCTTGTTGATCATAATAATCGATGTTTGGTATTTGCTTATTAGCAGCAGATATGTCGAATAACTCGTTTGTGGTGGCAATGCATAGATTGAGAAATGAGAATGTGTCAAATGCAATTGGTATGCAAGACAGACATATCTAAGATTAATAACGGCCCGTATGAGAGAGAGAGAGAGAGAGAGAGAGAGATGCTGTGATGCATTGAATAAATCGAATAACACCAAGGAATCATTCAAGAAAAATTCCAATGTGTCAAGCCAAACCGCAGCGAATAATGCGATGATTTACGAGAATTAGTATGTCATTAGATAATTGCATAAATACAACGTTTTACAGTTAACAATCAATGGTTTAAATTAATTGATACCTTCGAAAGTGCGATGGATGGAATTCATTAAATGCAAACCAGTTTGTTTAGAAGCATCCCGTAATTAAAACGAAACATTGTATCGACGCATGTTTGCTGATGATTAATGAAGAAGGTGTGATGCGTATGTGTGTCTCTGTGTGCGTGCGTGTGGTATCACTTACACAAAGCGATTAGACACTGATCTGAATCGGAAATGTAGTAATAAAGCGAATTTGATATTAATGAAATTATTTCGACCGCAAAACCCCCGCCGTAATAATGACATTATTGATGATTGGTACACCGTTGGATATATCAGCATGGAATAGGCACCAATTCACACTTTTAATTATGCGTAATGATTTGTGCATACAGTGAAACAGTGTGGCAAAATCAAACCTATCAACCGCTTCCATATTCACCTATTCCGATGATTCACCGCAAATGGGCTCAGACATCAGGCACATGCAAAACATGCACATATGCCATATCGGTGATGACGATGCTCCATGCTCGTATGCATCGAATCGATATTTCGGAATGTGTTGTTTGGAAATTTAATGTGTAATAAGTGGTAGTGCTGAATTTGTATAATAAATAATAGAGCATGTTCAGTGGTAAAATAAACATGGCATATGCTTTTTGCCATGTAAAACACGATTTGAAGCGTCTCTGCAACCGTTGAACCTGTTGGCATTCGCTTGTTTATTAGTGCTTATATGAAAAAAGATACAACATCCGTGCTCATGCTATGCACCGCTCTCTCTCTCTCTCTCTCTTTATTCCTCTCTCTGTCGATTCGTGGCTCCCTTTGACAGCGCTCATTTTCGGTTCGATTTTCATTCGTTTGGCAAATGACGGGCGTTTCGATGAGAGGTGTTTTTTTTGTTGTTGTTCAAAAATTAATTTACAAACGTGCTCTTCATTTCGTCAATTACAAAGAGTTTTGAGTTTCACACGCTTAATGATCAACATGTTAAAGCATTGAAAATCAAACACATGGCTCCAGTTACACATTCGAATTCACACAATGCACATGTAATTTTTAATTGCGTCATTCCAACCTACTTTTTTTCTCTCCTTCAATACTCGTCAGACTGCAATGACACATGAAATCCAAAACAGGACTTGTTTTGCTCGCTTCGACTGAAGAGTCATCAAATTAAAAATGCTGCCGCTTGTGATTAAAGCGAATTGTCGAACAAACAAACAAACAAAAACAGAACTTTGCTGAAATTTCAGTTGCATTTTTGTAGCCTTTGATGAATTCGCTTTTTCTAATCGAAATTCAAAAAATTCCACAAAAGAAACATTTTTCTCGCAAACACTTTTTCCATCATCACCACAACAACAGCACAATTTCTACGGACGATGAAATAAAACAAACACATTATTGTTGTGTGTTTGCGTTTGTTATTTGTTGTTGTATGTAATAAAATGTTCTGTGCACATTTTACACATAAATCTATGTGGCGAAAGAGCGCGCATCGCGCACATAGGCAAAAAAAACTTTCTTTTCAACGAGTTTGATGGTTATTTCCCCTTCGCTTGCACCGTACCGTTTTATTTATCGCATCATGTGTTGTTGTTTTTTTTCGCGCGCGCACTTAAATACGCTTTTTCATTCTTTTTTAAATGATAAGAAAGTGATGTGATGTATTTGGTAGACTGAATGTACGTGCGGGATGTGGAAACAAAGCCGAGAACCAGCGTATTTTTTTTCTTCTTCTTCTCCCGAATGTAAGGGAGTGAAAAGTTAGACATGAGATTTCTCAACGCAATAGCGGAAAAAAGGGTTCATTCTTTGGTGTGTTGATGGTGGGTCCAAGAAAATTTTATTTCACCGATTTTCCACATTTGAAATGTACACGCCAACAATAACCACCCACTTATTTAACTCGTTCCCATTGTCTTGTCGAAGTTTTAAACGGAATTTTCGGGTGCAGTCCAAATCGAAAAAAAAAGAACAGGAAACGAAAACCGAGAAATAACAGTCGAATCCTGTACACAAAGTATTGTGATGAATGGCTGAGCACGGACTTGAATGCGCTATTTAACGGTGATGAGAAAACGTGATTGCCGTTTTCTTTTCCATCCGTTTCCCTTGCTCTCGTTCTCGCTCAAGTCAACATAATGTTTTTGATCTTGATTTCCATGGTTCGGGTGTGGAAAATCACAATCACATCAGCCGTAAACAGCAGATTTGTTTCGGTAAATTGACGCAAAACATAAACATAAATATTTTAAAATTTTTCACAAGCAATTCTCTCTCACTCTCGTTGTCGATGTGATTCTGGTTTGCATTTTGATTTGAGCAACTCGTTTGGAATCATGTCATTTCTTTTTTTTTCCTTTGAAATTCGTTCCAGAACAAGTATGAAACAGATATTTATTCATTTTTCTTCACGAAAAGAAAACTTTGCGCATTTATTTTCCGTTGAAACGATTCGCGGCGCGAAGTTTGTGTCGCATTTTAAGGTAAATTCTGCGGAACGTATTTAACATTTGCAATTGTTTCTGTGTCTTGATTGCGTTTTTTTTTTCAAAGGCATGAAACAAAGAAAAAAACATGCAATTTTCAAAGTAGTTCCTAACTACGATTGTCCTCGATAAGTGGGCAACTCTTTAGCAGTTCATTATGCAAACTGCGAGACATTATTTTTTCTGTGCCGTTCAACTTTGTAATTAAATGCGTCGCCAATTGCTACTTACGATAATTACGAAAAACAATAATTCAAGTCGAATGGGAAAACGATTCACGATTTCATGTGAAAATTAGCATTTTGAGGTTGTTTTGAGCATTTCCCTAAGTGGCTTATTTGGAATTTCCTATTTTAATTGCGAATTTTTTCCTTTAATTTTTCTTTTCTGCATAAATGTTTCCTTTTTTCTTAACAAATCGTCTCCTAATCTGGAGAATGTTTTTCATTTATTTGTGCGAGCCAAGAGAAAGTCAATAATCGTTTCGTTTTCAAAATCGTTGCAGAGAATGACCATGGATATTGGTAAAACGGAAATCAGCAGTGTAACAGGCACAGCGTCGAATCCATCGCAGATATCAAACCATCAATTGTGTGCTGGTTGCGGCAAACCGATCCAAGATCGTTATCTGCTCAAGGCATTGGATATGCTTTGGCACGAGGATTGTTTAAAATGCGGTTGCTGTGATTGTCGATTAGGCGAAGTCGGTTCCACATTATACACCAAAGGAAATCTAATGCTGTGCAAAAGAGATTATTTAAGGTGAGTAATTCATACGGTGCTATGCTGCAATATGCAAAACATATGGGGAGGGCGGTAGCATTTAGTGGCTTCCGAAGATTGTGGTGTGTTCGAGTCGAGTCAACATTTTGGCCATAAATTGTGCATCAATAAGTTGGTGTCAAGACTTAATTCACCAGAAATAGGAAAAATTTGTTACTGTTTTGCGGCGGATATGTGATTGTTGGCCCATTCACAACAAGATGCTTATTCAAAACATTTTGCCTTAACCGCAAATGGACAATTTGTTGCTGATTTATGTACATTCACACTTGGTGTTTTATTTAGAACAACCACACAGGTACACTGTCACGGAGAGCATGTGATTTTGATCCGATAAACACGACCATTTACATTAGCATGTACCACAAACAGAATACACACGTGAAATGTTTACCCAGAACGATGTTCTCGTTATTAGTTTGAGGAATTGTACACTGCATTCGTCTTATCTTGACTTGTAAAGTGAATTTATTGGATGTGAGTACATGACGTACTCGTGTCACAATCCAATAGACTGATTCTGACATTATTCACACCTCATTCTTGAAGTGAGTCATTGTGATGATAAAATCAGCTTTGCCTCGAGCAAAAAGTGGGGATGGAAATCAATTGGTTGCATCGCAACAATAATTCAAGGGAAAATCATACCAAGAATCGATGGAAAAATTGCTAACATGATGAAATGGAATATGAAAAATTAATTCTTTGTAACAATTTTTTCCAATTTTCTTCAAAAATGGTCAATTTTTTTGGGAGATAAAAGAAAATTGCTTTAAAAATCCCAAATATCTTCGCTTTTTCTAATTTTTCTTTGGAGAATTTTTAAGTTTGTAAACAATAATCCAATTTTTCTTATTTTTCAAGGTTATTTGGGAATACGGGTATGTGTTCGGCCTGTAACAAAGTGATTCCGGCGTTTGAGATGGTGATGCGAGCACGAAACAATGTTTACCATTTGGAGTGTTTCGCGTGTCAACAATGCAACCACAGGTGAATTACATTTATTTGATGATATATCCAACATTTATGATCAAAGACCACATTTTGGTTCACATTTTTATCGAAATGTTTCAAATCAACGATCATTCTTCTCCAATGTTGAATTTTTCCTCTCGATTGTCAATTGAAAGAGGAATATACACATTTCTCAAGTGTTTACTGATTCAATTGTTTCTTTTGTTTTGTTCCATTAGATTTTGTGTTGGTGATCGATTTTACTTGTGTGAAAATAAAATCTTGTGCGAGTACGACTATGAGGAGCGATTGGTGTTTGCATCGATTGGAAATCATCCGATGATGAAGCGCCATGCAAACACAATTGCCCAGAATCCACCGCCACCGTACACAAAAAGCAGTCCTGGCAATATGCCAAACGGAACCAATGTGAATAGTGTTTCGCCCATGCAACAGCAAGTGATGGGAATGGATCAAACACAGTCACCGCACCATCATCAACAGGCTCACATTCAACAGTCAAAAATGCAGCACGATGATCACAACAACAACAATCATGGTCCAGCCAATGGTGGTAGTTGCGGCATAGCTGCCAATCAATTCAATGCGCCACTCATGAAAATTCCGCATAGCGCCTAAGCTCACACGCACTGCAGATATTTTCTCAACTGGCTCAAAAGTATATAAAGTACTGTAATTTTTTTTTTTGATTAATTTTAAGATATCCAAATACGTACAAATCCAATGAATGGATTTGCATTCATAACCAATGCCAAAACACGAACAAAGGCCATATTTACACATTGTGTGTAAACGATAAAAAAATCATGAAAATAATCTCAATTTGCTTAGGAATTATTGAGTAATTTCTAAGATCTATTCGATTTCCTGTTTTCTTTCGGGAATTCGATTAAAACGTACTGAAACGAAACTGAAATGACTCCACTTTTTGTTCCAGGAGTTCAAATCGATGTAAATTATCAGTAAATTGATTTTTTTTTAACTAGAAAAAGAAATTTTTTTTTCATTAAATTTCCTTCTCATTTATTCATTAATTAACTTCTTTGCTAATAAACAAGAATTCGTTGGACAGTTTGCAGACGTTAGCTATGTTCACAAGTGAGTCTAGATCAATTGCATTGAATGTGCACTGCGGTCACTGACAAATGTAACATGCGCGGCTTTGTTATTTGCCGGTACTCGAGTCGATTCGATAAAAAAAAAGAATCAGAAATGCCAACGAAATTAAACAGAAGCGATTTTTGATTTGAACCCAACGTTCAAAACTCGTTCGAAGCCGAAACCGTTTTGACTAGAGTCAAATTGTGTACATTTCCGACCAGAGTTGGAGTGTAACACATTCAAACGGGCACACGTCGTCTTCGAACAGAGTAAAGCGAAGAGAAAAAAGATAAATAAACCCATCAACACATAATTTTTGTTGTTATTGTGATATTTGTTGAAGAAAAACATTTAAGGAAGAGAAAAATAGCATTTTATTTAAATGAATATTTGAGGATAAAACGAAGATGGTGAAAAAGATTTAAGTTAAATTTGTAAATATACGCTATAAACATTCTATCTCAAATTAACGCTCATTTCAAACCCCCCAAAAAATAAAGAATAGTCGACTGAATGTTGTTTATTTCGAATATACATCGAGGAAGTACTTTTCTTCCGTCAGACAAACGATTTCATAAGAGAAGAAAAACAAATTCCGTGAGAGAAAACAAAAATATTGACAGAAAAAACATATTCACACATCCGAAACTGTTGTCTAAATCGTAAACCAAATAAAGAAGCGAAAAATATCGTGAAATAATCTTAATGTACAATTCAGTATTAAATGTGGAGCGAAACAATTGAGCCAAATAAATAAAAATAATGGAAATGGAAATTGTGGACTTTTGATTCATTTTTTTTGCAGAGATTTTCCTTGATAATTCTTTATTTTTACAGCCTCCTGTTCTGGATTTAACCATTTGCAATGGGTTCATTCGTTTTTTTTTTATTGCAGTGAGCAGACAATTTGAGTCAACCGTAAGTAACCCACCTACTTTGGGTCATTCGAAATAGAATATCTTGCCACTTAATGGATCTCTTTTAAGTAATTAAGTGAAACTGAAACAAAATGCGAATGCCCAAGAAATATGCGTTCATTAAATCTGGTCATCCCTTCGTTTGTTCGTTCTTTTTCTCCACATTTTCGACCGCATTAGCAACAGCGACTAATTTAATGCAATTAATTTGCATTAAGAAATAACACCTTAATAAAAATTCATCCAGGAAACCGTTGCTAGTCGTTCTTCAATGTCCCGAACAATTGCAGGCAAACAACAATTTCTTTTAACGACCGCTTTGTGCACGGCAAACGATCCTATTCTTCAATCAACGAGCGGCACAAAGGAGTGTATCATTTTCACGCATATTTCTGGATGAATGGAGACGAGAGTAAGAACCCCATGGAAAAAAGGGTTACTTATTGTAATTATGAATACATTCACTCACTCACTCGGTGCCACTGCAATCATTTTTATATTCATTCATTTCGTGTATGCAAATAAGCCAAGACACACACACACTCTCTCTCTGTCTCGTTTGCTTGAATGTAGTAAATCTTTATTAATTGCAAAAATACAGCATTCCATCTTTTTGGGTGTGCGCTGTGCTGTGTCTGTGGTGAATATCAAATGCAGATGCAACCTTAACGAGCACAAAGAAGTGTGAAAGTGCGTGGTTTTGTTATTATTCTTTTTCCCTCCCAGTCAAAAGGGTTCCGTTCATTGCCCATCATACGAACAACCATTAAAAAAATTAAGAACGCTGTAATTCGATGGGAAATGTGGGGAGAATTTGTGGAAAATCCAGAGCTAGGAAAAAAATGTAGATTTTTGAACGTCATTCCATTTGATGAGCACCTTTTCTACAGCTCCATTAATTTTAATTCTTTATTACTTTGAGAAGAAAAATTACGGCGGTTAACGCCAGTCGCCAGCTTGTTATTACGTGCAAAAGCGCATTAACCTAAGTGCAAATGGACTCGAATTCATTTTAAATAATTAATAAATCTCCGAATGAACTTTGGTCGAGGCGGTTTTTTCTTCTTCTGAAGGTTGAGGTGAACTTTGTATAAGGAAACGAATATGTGCTTGGTGCCTTTTTTATAAGAGTATTAATCAATGACATTGATTTGCACTTTGAATGAGTATTCATTGTTTGTGTCACATAAAAAAACACCGAGCAAAAGTCTATTTCGAAATTTTGATTAAAAGATTTTATCTCTCATTCACCCCATCGAATTTTCTGTTCGACGACCCTCCTCTGGATTCAAGACGAAATGAAAAATGTCACTTCGCTTAATGAGATGTTGACTCTACTTGAACGGCTATTTTTATTAACACATATTTCTTGTATTGATTTTTGAAGCTTCAAGGGAACATTTTTAGTGAGGAATCAAGAATGAGTTTTTTGATCGGCACAAATGGGAAATGAACCACCAGGAATAAAAGGTAAATATTGGCGAACAGTACGCTAAAGTGGGACTAGATTTAGTTTTCACAAAATTAGAGTGTGACACTCCAAGTGTCCATATTGTTGCATTTCGATTATGTTAGCCATAATCACAACAATAACGTGTTTTTCTTTTGCATACGACATTTTCATTCTCCTGTTTTCAAACATTTCGGTATGATTCGTTTCGCATTTTCAACGGTTCAACTGTTGTAGACTTGAAAAGGATGAATTTAAAAATACAGCGCATTTCAAAATTTAGTACTTTTAGCTGGAACCAAAATTTTTTATAGCACATAATAAAGCAAAAAATTTGCGGCTTGTGGTAAAATAAGGAACAGACGACGTAGTATGATGAAGTCATTTTGAATATAAAACCACAATTCAAATGAATTCAAAATTGTGATAACGAATATGAGCATAACGTCGCATATATAAATGATTCGAATAGAATTAATTGTGAGCTGCTTTATGCCTGCATCACACATGATAAACCTACATGAGCTCTCGTTCATGCAAAAATGCTTTCGCCATTTAAGATACTGTTTTCTGCCTCTGTTCTATTTTGCAGCTTTGGTTTGTAAATCATTTCAGCAAAATAGCTGAGGTATGTTGATGCAGCTCATAGACGTGGCATATTCGATGTTATAACAAAATAAAATGGTTAATAATTCCGAAGTCAGACTGATTTAATGGAAAAAACTAAATTGACAATCACTAAATCATCATTATTCTTTGAAATGTATCAGCAAAAACTAGAAGAACAAAAGAATGATATTTTTTTGCAGAATTTTTATTTTTCTTTCATTTCACAATTTTGTTTTAAAATATGTTGGTATTTATTTATTCGAGGAAAAAAGAATTTTACTTACGAAAATGGTTGGAAGCATTTACAAGGTGTTTTCCAGAATTTTCTATAATTATATCTAACCACTTACGATTAACCTTTAATATATTATGTATACATCGTTAGGAACGCCATCAATTAAATGTTTCATTTCATTAACGATAAAGATTTTAACTTCGACACAACGATCTTTAGCTAGATTCAAAACCGATGTATAATTATCCATGTTTATTTCAAAATTAAAATCATACGTTACTACAATAAGCGTTGTTAAAACTTTATTATATTCCAGGGCCTTTTTAATTCCACGCATAGTTACTTCTGAACTTTCTTTTGCAATCATCACTTCTAATGCTGGCAGATTTTTAACATATTCAACCAACCTTTTGTCAATTAGGTTATCCAGACACAATGTTTTCAATGTTGTGAATGACTTCAATTGCGAGAAAAATTGATACATATCCAAATCAGATCTGGAATAATCGTTTTCTATTTCGATACTCAATTTTTCAAGGGGAATATTTTTTTCAATGAATTCAGTAATCAATTTCTCTTCTGAAAATGAACAGCACGAACTGATTTCCAACCACTTTAGTTTCTGCAAATTGCTTAAATGTATCAAATTTGAAATTGAATCCATATTTTCAACGTGTTGTCGAAAAGCAAGACATAGTTTCCCAAGATTTGGCGTTAAGCGAGCGAGGCTGGATGAAATCATAGGTGTTATTTGATTACAAATTGAAATATCTGTATCTTTCAGTTGCGGATTCAACTTCAAGAACTCAATGAGCTGGTTGGATTTTAATTTGTGCAAACAAAAGAATTTGACAATTTCCAATTTTGGAAATGCATGAATGAGCCAATCGAAGTTTGTTACATTTGATAGATTCAATCTTTTTAATTACGACTGATATGCAAAATTGGAGACGTATTTACTGTATATTTTTAAATACTCTACTGCTTGTAACGGTGATCGAGTTTTGAAATTCACTTGCGCACCAGGTGAGTAGACAACAAATTTGGTCAGTGTTTTACCACAGTAATCTGCAATCAGATTTTGAATGTTGTCGTCAAGTTTTGTATCTGTATCTTGTGTCCAGAAATGAAGTTCCATGATTAGGTGACCAAAAATTATGAGGAAACTGTGCACTCGATTAAGGAACATCGTGTGTTCAGTGTTCGGATGTTCTCCTTTTCTGCAACGGCCATCGAGAAAAATCTTTTTGTATTTCTACCGAAAACTAGCCTTGGCATTTTCTTGGAATCGAACGCAGGTTTCAGCGGCACTCAAAAAATCTCGAACGTTTAGATTTTCTTCAAAATTGACTAAATATCTACGAAGCACTTGACATCATCCGATCTGCAAAAGACTTGATCTTTGAAACGGTGTTTTTTGCCGAATAATTTGTGGTTCATTTATAAGTAAGTGCAGTTATTTCAAATCAAAAAGAATTTCAAATTCATTGCTTAGAATAAAATTCAAATCGTTTTCCATTTTTAAAAAACGTGGACTTTCTTCATCGTTGAAATGCTTTTTTCTCGATTGGTTAGAATAAATTTAAATTTGTTTTTTGTTTTAGAAAATCCAGTTTGCGCCAGTGTTTCTTCATCAATCGATTCAATACGTCACGAGCCAGCAGCTACACTGCTGGATCAACCAATGGAGATTTGAGAACAACACGAAGCCATGGAAGGGATGATTGAAACCGATATTAACTTACCTCCAGCCCAAGAGTCTCCAAAAAACATTCTGAATGTTCTTAATGACGATTGCAATCAAGCGGTCGTATTGAAGCTAGGCAATGTATTGGATTTTCTTCACGCAGCTGAAGTATGTACAAGATTTGAGCAGAACGCACAGCTGTGTTTTCCTTTAAAGGACATGATTTTTTCACGTGAAGCCGTAAATTCGAAAAAGAAAAATGCTCTATCAAAATAATCCAAATATGCTAAAAAATTCCTTGGCAAATTTGGTCGATTTATTAAATCTGTTGATTACTTCCATAATGAACGTAGCTACGTCATACCGACAAATGAATCCATAAAACGCAATACAATGGAAATGAGTGAAGAATTGAGTCTAATTCATAAATATTGTGGAAAAACTTTGGTCAAATTGACAATTAGAGGACACTACTTGGCCTTAAAACTTACGATACGATACGATGCTTTTGAAGAACTAAGCCTGAAAGGTATTCTGCTACATCCGCAAAGCTATTTCCCAAATTAAAACAAATGACTATAGATGATCTTATATTGAACATGAATTGGGTTGCGAATGAATTTCCACATCTAAAAATAGTGCAATTTCTTACCACGCATACACTAACGAATGATATTTTTATTGAATTTCTAAACCGAAACCCGCAACTAGAGCAATTACGGGTGTGGAATAGTTCCTCGTCAAGTCTTACATCATTAGCATGGCAAGGTATTGGAGAACGATTACCAAATCTCGTCTTTCTCGACTTAAAAAACGTTGACGTAGAAGCAGGTGTCTTAGAACTGTGCACTTTGCGTAGATTAGAAATATTATTTCT